TCAATCCTCTATAGCACCGCAAACTGATTGATTCATAAAAACATTCTCTTTTCGCGATTTTGGTTTCAACCATAACCACTACGTCTACTACGAAGGGACCTCTTCAATAAGCAGAATAAAACAAAGTCGAAGCACATTGTCTTGGTCCTTCGAATACTGAATTACATGACATTAGTTACTTAGGTTAGGTACTCTGGTGATATCCAGAATCAAATTACTTCCCCATTCAATAGTTTCGTCAGACTAGAGGTACTAAGAGCACCTTATTCGCCAAAATTGTAATAATAACAAGGTTTAACAAGGCGTTTAACCAAGGTAACATACATCTTAAAGAATGTTCGTCAAACATGTCTCATAACCAATTTTTATATTTCTCATTTAGTTGGTAATCAATATAATTATTTGATTCTATAGAAAGTGAAGTCGATTGAACGATGTTCTATCTGATATCTGTTCTTATGTTTATTGACAACAACTTTCTTAAGGCCTCAGATTTCTTTAAGAACCAGATCTTTAATAAATCTATCAGATATGCTTTCTAGAAGTTTGTTATCGAAATAAGAAAAATTGGTTCAGTAATAACGAAGTATAACTCCTAAAAAACCCCAAGATTTCTATACTATTAATATAGTATATAAAGTCTGTTGAGTTTTTCCGAAAAGTCATTAATTGAAAGCATATATCAGCCATCAGTTCATAATATACTTATGTATATATAACATCTTTCAGTCATCTATTTAACTTATCAAATACTCATTGTAAACCCCGTAAAATTAATTCATTAGTTGAGCAACTATTAAATAAATATTTGCCATATACTCTGTCTTACATTAAAATCAACAAATATTTACATTTAATATCTGACATTACATAAGTTTAACAAGATTTTTTCGATATTCAGGGGTAAACAACTAGCAAAACAGGTGTAATTAATGTAATGTCTAGCATAATAAAAATATTAATTTAAAGTAAATAAAAATATTTATATTTTAACAATATTGACATGTATTATTTATAATCTTATTTAAAATACATATATATTTGTATATATTTCGAAAGATATTTTTCTAATTGAAGTTCCACATTGATCATTTGAATTTGATATGAAATCGTGGTCCGAACTTAACTGATTTTAAAAAGCTAACCTAACCTAGCACGATCGCACAGATAGACAGACAGACAGTTGAAAGTTAGAATATCAAATCAGAATACTGATCAGATCTTTATATAGTGGCTATAAGAAATCATGGTCCCAACTTAACTGATTTTAAAAAGCTTCGTCTTTGCTTGGTATTGTATTTTTACGACAATATGTTAACCTTGATCGCACAGAGAGACAAACGGACAGTTGAAAGTTGTAAAATCAAATCAGAATACTGATCAGATCAGAATCTATTTAATTGATTTACCTTATGATGAGCGTAGAAATTTCCTGTACTAGCTCAGATCGATATTTTCTTTAGGTAGAAAGGTAGGTAAGCAGGATGTGCATGCGTTTACTGAAGACCCAATTGATTTCATCATACTGATCCTTTTTGAGATCTGTAAAGAGAAAAAGGTTAATAAATTAATACATTTCGATCTAGTTAGTTAACCAGAATCCTATCAATCAAATTAGTTGCACATAGAGATTATCTTTGAGATATTTAACCTAACCTGGCCTCCGGTAGGTTTGTGCTTAGTGTTCTAGTCTGATAGAGCGGAGGTCGTGGGTCCGATTCTCACCTGAGGCACTGGTTAAGGAGCGCACAACAGGCCCGATAGAGGCCTAGGTGTATTTCTTCGGATTCCATGTGTATACATCCTCCTTTCAAACTAACTAACTAACCCAGATAAATACATTAAATCTTACAGCAAATTTGGACCCAGCGTGTTGAACCTGTGTTCCGCCAAGACTGAGCTTTGTCTTTCCTTAATCTTGACGGTGTATGTATATTCGAACAACAGAACACTACACTGATCGGGAAGTTTGAAGGATACTTCCATTGTGTAATACATGAAAGCCACTTTCTACACCATGATTTAGAGATACTAATGGCTCTAAATCTTTAACAATCTGTTTTGAATCCATTTTATTAAAACATGATTTATAGGTTCAGTAATCAATGTTAACTGGAATTTATCCCAGACAATTGTGTATGGAGGAGGGAGTGACCTGACTGAGTTATAAGTCATGTACCAACTGTCTTGAGTCAAACGCCTTGTCTTACGTCAGGCTTAAATTGAGCCTTAAGTAGTGTGTGTGTGTAATCGTGTGTGTTAAAATTTAGTTTACATGTCATAGGAGCTATTACGATCATACGAACGGTATGACAAAAATAGGTATATCTTTTAAGATCTCCTTGTTCTTGTTTTCTTTGCCCAGATGTTAGTCTTCAAAATTCTATCAAAGTACGATCGCTTTATAAAACGAGATTTTTACTACTATGATCTTGTTTTCTCTGCACAGATGTCTGGAAAATTCTATCAAAGTACGATCGCTTTGTAAAACGTCAAATATGATCATGACTTTGAATGATCTGTCTAGCAACGGCAGAGTGTAATAAATTAGCTCTCTAATGCTTTTGTGAAAGCGAAAGTGTTTATGAGAGAGTTGTTTGCTAAAAGCTGTGTGAGCTTACTTACGTTTGAAACCCAAAAAGCTTTTGTTCTACAACTGATCTAAGTTAAATTTTAAAATGTTTATTTCCTTAAGAATAGTAGTTAAAAGAACAAAAAGAGAGTGAAAAGCCAAAGAGTGAAAAAATTAACACTCTAATTGCATTTATGAAAGTGAGAGTGTTTATGAGAGAGCTTTTTGTTAAAAGCTGTATGAGCTTTTATACGTTTCAAAGACAAAGATCTTTTGTCTGATAACTATTCTAGGGCAGAGAATGAAAAACTAGCTCTCTAATTGCATTTGTGAAAGTTAGAGTGCATATGAGAGAGCTTTTTGTTAAAACCTATGTGAGCTTATTTATGTACGTTGGAAAGCTAAAGTGCTGTTGTCTGATAATTGCATTTGTGAAAGTGAGAGTGTTTATGAGAGAGCTTTTTGTTAAAAGCTGTATGAGCTTTCATACGTTTGAAAGACAAAGATCTCTTATCCAATAACTGATCTAGGGTAAATTTTTATCGGGTACCGATAGAGAATGAAAAACTAGCTCTCTAATTGCATTTGTGAAAGTGAGAGTGCATATGAGAGAGCTTTTTGTTAAAACCTATATGAGCTTGCGTACGTTGGAAAGCTAAAAAGCTCTTGTCTGATAATTGATCTAGGGCTAATGTTAAGACGATTATTTCTTTAAGAATAGTGTAGAGAAGAGAGAACGAAAGCTCTTGTCTGATAATTTATCTAGGGCAAATTTTAAGACTGTTACTTCTTTAAGAATAGTAGAGAAGAGAGAAGTAAAACAAAGATCGATCGTTACTTAAGACTAATCTCTACAGTATTGAGAAAATATAGTTTTTTATAGAACGTTTACTTCTTTAAGAATAGTGTAGAGAAGAGAGAAGTAAAACATAGATCGATCGTTACTTAAGACTTATCTCTGCAGTATTGAGAAAATATAGTTTTTTATAGAATTGGAATAAGAATTGGGCAGCAACAATCTAAATCTAAGGGACCAAATTTCCTCCGAATTTTCTCTTTAAAATGAGAGCTTTTAATAGACCTAAAATACTTAAGAAGATTGATCATAAATCAGATTACCAAGGGCTAAGCTTTGAGTTAACTCCATTAAGAAAAGGAATCGAAAATACTTATTTCCAGTTCAACGAAATTTCGGGTTAAGATGAGTTTTAGGGATTTCTAGTTGAAAAACCCCGACATCTTTAACCAGATGACTTAACAGATTTATAGGTTTTTCTTAAAATGAATAAATTTTTTTTTTAAATATAAAGATTTCTTGATTAACACTTACACATACTTAGAAAAATGAAAAAAAAAATTTATTATATTTTGTTAATATTTTGCATGGAAGAGTGTCGTAAAAATTGTTTATGACTTTTTTTCTTTTTTTAATAACAAGACAAACATAATTATAGAGACATGGTGGTAGTGGCTAATATGGGTGTTTGCATAGACAACATACCTAGAGTAAGACAAATACAGCTTTAAATGTATGTGTGTGTTTAAGTTGCTGGGTAAGTGTGTATGTGTGTGTTAGACTGAGCATTTATTGTGATAAGACATATCTAACTTTTTGATTTGTATGTTATTTTGTTGCTGCTTTCATTAAGTTCTAAAGCTTATTTATTATTTGTGAGCAATAACAACACCGGCAGCAATAGCAATATCAACAACAATACTTATTGTTGTGTTTGAATATTTTCACTCTCTTTTTTTTCTCTCTTGTTTAGTTTTCTATGTATATTTTTAATATTTTTCTTTTTATTTTGTTTGCTTTGACTTGTTTTAAAGGGGCCGGCGATCTTAGATTTGCTGTTGATATATTTGTTGTTGTTGTTGTTGCTGCTAGTGTTGTTGTTGTTAGTTAGTTAGTTGTGTTGTATTAGCAATCGTAGTATTAACCGAAGACGTTGATTAGTGTTAAATTTGTATAAAGCTTCTAGCTGTAGCCTGCTTGCTGCCTTCTTGCCACCCTGAGCAGTTGTAATCGTAGTTTTGTTAACAATTTTTGTTGGTTTATTTTTATTATTATATATATTTTTTAATTATTTATATTTTTTCGCCAACTCTGACAACCAATTCATTTATACTGCTATCAACCAGCAACAGCAACAAAAACAATAAAAAAATATATACAACAAGACACAATAAAATACAGTTTAGTACGTGTCTACAACATTTCTATAGATTTAGTCGGCATTTTGCGTTAGAACATAACGATCGTGTATTTTTGGATTTGTGAGAAAATTTTTTTGCGGGTTTTTTTTAAAAAACGTCTTTACTTGAAACGTAATTTTTTTTAAAATATAAGTAAATAATTTTTATACAAAAATAAAATCAAGTGAAAAATTTTGCAGAAAAATTATAAAAAAAAATTTAAAAAAAAAATTTTTTTCAAATTTAAATTTTTTTTAAAAATTAAAAAAGAAACTTTTTAAAAAATTATTAAAAATATAACAAAACAAACAAAATGCTCATATTTAAGAATTTATTAAAATTTTGCTAAAAGCAAATTCAGACACAAAACACTGCCTGCTCCCATAGACCCATCAGTTCCGTCTAATAATAACAAAACTAAATGCTAAAAATTAACAGCAAAAAATTAAAAAATTGTGAAAAAATTTTTTCAAATAGAAAATAAACAAAAAAATTACCATAAATAAAAAAAACAAATAAACAAATACTAACTAGAAAAAAAATCAATATTTATTTAAGATTTCTTATTAAGTGTGCGGCTCAAGTTAATTTGTTTAACAAAATTATAAAAAAAACCCTATTCTCCTTATAACCATTTTTTTGAAAAAAAAAGTGACAGTCTAGTCAATTCACACATATATAACTTAAATAAAGTGTTTTTAAAAAATATTTTTAAAATAAAAAAAAAAAATAAATTCTAATGTAAAATACACAAAAAAAAACAAAATTCATTTAAGCCTTAAAAACAAATATTAAATTTTAAGCTAAACAAAAATTCTATTAAATAATTAACAAAACGCCAGTATAACATCCATAACAATCTGGTAGCCAATGTTGCCAAATATGCTCAAAATGAAAACGGAAATTATCACTGGCAATGGCTTCGATGATTCATATATGTTTGAGGATCATTTATTACACATGATAGGTAAATATTAATTTAAGCCATTGTTTTTTTAACTAACACTTTTTAAAGTTTTTTAATTAAAAGCATAAAGTTTTGAAAATTTAAAAAAATAAAAACACATTAAAAGTTTTTATGATGTCTGCTTCGTAACATAAAAAAGAAGTGTCTGGTTAACCATTCAGTATTATTAAAAGTTATAATGGCTTTCTTACTATTTAATTTTTTAAAATTAAATAGAAAAAACTAAATTGTTTACAAACAAACAATAATATTTTATAGAAATTTACTTTGTTTTATATCGGAATTTTTTCGCTAAAATAAAGCAACAACAAAATTGTAATGGAAAGTTTAAAATTTGCTTATGTTTCTTCGAACCAGACCTTAGATCAACTGAATTCTTGTAGCTCTATCAGTCCAAATTTTACTAATTTCTTCTTCAGTTCTAGTTCTGTTCTAGTTCAGTTCTAGTTCTGTTCTAGTTCTAGTTCTGTTCTAGTTCTGCTCTAGTTCTGTTCTAGTTCTGTTCTAGTTCTGTTCTAGTTCTGTTCTAGTTCTGTTCTAGTTCTGTTCTAGTTCTGTTCTAGTTCTGTTCTAGTTCTGTTCTAGTTCTGTTCTAGTTCTGTTCTAGTTCTGTTCTAGTTCTGTTCTAGTTCTGTTCTAGTTCTGTTCTAGTTCTGTTCTAGTTCTGTTCTAGTTCTGTTCTAGTTCTGTTCTAGTTCTGTTCTAGTTCTGTTCTAGTTCTGTTCTAGTTCTGTTCTAGTTCTGTTCTAGTTCTGTTCTAGTTCTGTTCTAGTTCTGTTCTAGTTCTGTTCTAGTTCTGTTCTAGTTCTGTTCTAGTTCTGTTCTAATTCTGTTCTAATTCTGTTCTGTTCTAGTTCTGTTCTAGTTCTGTTCTAGTTCTGTTCTAGTTCTGTTCTAGTTCTGTTCTAGTTCTGTTCTAGTTCTGTTCTAGTTCTGTTCTAGTTCTGTTCTAGTTCTGTTCTAGTTCTGTTCTAGTTCTGTTCTAGTTCTGTTCTAGTTCCGTTCTAGTTCTGTTCTAATTCTGTTCTAATTCTGTTCTGTTCTAGTTCTGTTCTAGTTCTGTTCTAGTTCTGTTCTAGTTCTGTTCTAGTTCTGTTCTAGTTCTGTTCTAGTTCTGTTCTAGTTCTGTTCTAGTTCTGTTCTAGTTCTGTTCTGTTCTAGTTCTGTTCTAGTTCTGTTCTAGTTCTGTTCTAGTTCTGTTCTAGTTCTGTTCTAGTTCTGTTCTAGTTCTGTTCTAGTTCTGTTCTAGTTCTGTTCTAGTTCTGTTCTAGTTCTGTTCTAGTTCTGTTCTAGTTCTGTTCTAGTTTTGTTCTAGTTCTATTCTAGTTCTGTTCTAGTTCTATCTAGTTCTGTTCTAGTTCTGTGCTAGTTCTATTCTAGTTCTGTTCTGCTTGTGTTATAGTTGTGTTCTAGTTCTAGTTCTAGTTCTGTTCTAGTTCTGTTCTGTTCTAGTTCTGTTCTAGTTCTGTTCTAGTTCTGTTCTAGTTCTGTTCTAGTTCTGTTCTAGTTCTGTTCTAGTTCTGTTCTAGTTCTGTTCTAGTTCTGTTCTAGTTCTGTTCTAGTTCTGTTCTAGTTCTGTTCTAGTTCTGTTCTAGTTCTGTTCTAGTTTTGTTCTAGTTCTATTCTAGTTCTGTTCTAGTTCTGTGCTAGTTCTATTCTAGTTCTGTTCTGCTTGTGTTATAGTTGTGTTCTAGTTCTGTTATAGTTCTGTTCTAGTTATGTCCTAGTTCTAGTTCTGTTCTCTTCTAGTTATATTCTAGTTTCTTGTTCTGTTCCAGTTCAGTTCTTGTATTATTCGCGATAATCATTAAAACTTTTAGCCGTTTCTAATTCTTTATAATTTGCTTTAATTTAAAATTAGCCACAAAATTTATTAATTGTTGTGTTTGCAAACATTTAACAAAATAGTTTGTTAGCACTATTTTTTATAGTTTTTTTTTTTTTTTTGTTTATTAATCTAAATGATTACTTTAAACTTGGCAACAAGTGTTTGTTTACTAGCAAACTATTTCAAAATAGAGAATTTTATCAATAACAAAAAAATAAATATACTATATTTATATATAGTTTAGCAAATTTTAGTGTTAATATTTATGGGTTCAACAACCCATAAATAAAGTGAGTGCATAAGTCCTGGTAGTAAAGGGATAAATAATTTTAAGCAGAAAATAACAGCTCAACAATTATGCCATTGACTATGAAATAACAGAAGGAATAGACGTTAAATTTAAAGATAATTTTATGATTATTTTTTTAAAATTTATTACTGTCTGTGAATGATAGAGAATGAAATTTTATTTTTTTCAACAATTATTTTAAAGATAAACAAAAAATGGTGAATCACAAAATTTTTGTTTGTTTTAGCTCTCGCTGACTTTTCAACAATTATTTGGTAGTTAAATGTTAAATAAGAAACAAATACTCGAAAATAAATATATTGCAATAAGTGGTAGATTTTAATACACTGTAGTCTATACCAACCTGCAAGCAACCTTGACAGAGGTAGTAAATTGTTAAGGGTATTCATGTATGTAGTTTTGATATCTAACCAACAACCATATATTAATTTAGTCAATCGTATGTAAAATTATTGTTTTTCAACTACACAAATAAATAATAACATTAATAATAAAAGTAACCAAAAAAAAAAAGAAACAATTGTATACGTAATAAAACAATTAAACTGATAATACAGACATACAATACATAAGTTTTTTTCTATACAAGAAGCCAACATGCACGATACTTAACGATTATAAAGAACTATATAGAAATGTATGTAGATATTTAGTGATGTATATATGATTGATGTTACATACAGCTAAATATATTTATATATGTATATTTTTTTAATGTATTTGTATGTTGTTAAATTACTGTTATCAAAACTTTTATGTTGTTTTTTTTTTTGGTGTTTTTGCTGAAAAAATTATTAAGAATATCGCAATATCAATTTATATATATATAATGATACACTTGAAATATTTTGTTATAGAAAAAAGTTTGCTTCCGGTAAAATAAATAAAAATAATTCTCCACCACTTAGTCTGATGTGTTAGCTCTCATTTGCTATATCAAACATTAAAATCCCTTAAAAATTGATAAAGTTATAGTAATTTTGCTGCAACAGCCTCATAATTAATATTAATCATACGCCACCTTATACACAAATTGAAAACTTAATACAAATTCCCTTTTAAGTTGGAAAAAGTGAAATATTAAAACAATTTATTTAAGAAAATGAAATAAAATTATTAACAAATTTATTAAATAAGTAACTTTTTTATTTCAAAGACAATAAATCTTTAAATATGCAAACTGTTTAATTAAGCACAAAATTGTCAATAAAATACACAAATTATCTAATTATTTATCTTAATTTATGGTAAAAAAATTATACAGGAAGTGTGTTATTATTGGTTAAATCAAAATTAAGACGTCATAACTACTTATAAGCAATAGTTAAAGCAGTTAATTAAAACAACTATATCGAAGCATTTTGTTAATAAAATTGATAATTAAAATGCTTTTCTGCCTCAATAAAAATTTGCTCTTATAAACACAAAATTTTCTTCAGTGTAAAATTTGCAATTTTTTGTGTGTTTTTTTTTACCAAAATAATCTTTTATTTTAGTTTTTTATTGATTTGACTCATAATCTTTATATAGTCATCATCAATTTATTTTTTTTTTCTTGTATTTCTTTTTTAACACTTCAACGCAATCGAATTGATAAGAAATAAAGGACGCTATTTTTCATTAGATGGGTGGTAGAAGGCGTTGTTATCAGATATTGATATGATCTATAAAAAAATTTGATCAACAAATACTACACAAAACAATATACTAACATTTTAATGCAATACTAAACCCCCTGGTTTTTATGATCGGGGTAAGAGCAGGGATTTACTGGAGTTATTTATTTTCGAAGAATTTTTTGATACTAAAGAATAGCAAAACAATTTTATGGAGAGTCACTTATAATAAGAAATGAAACCATTAATTTAAAGTTCAATTTAAAAACTCATACACAAAATAAAAATTCTAGGAATATTCGCGATAAGGAAATCTTAAAAAAAATTTTTAGAAATATTCTTATTCTTATTAATAGTTCAGTTATAGTTTAGTTCTAGTTCAGCTCTAGTTTAGATCTAGTTCAGTTCTAGTTCAGTTCTAGTTCAGTTCTAGTTCAGTTCTAGTTCAGTTCTAGTTCAGTTCTAGTTCAGTTCTAGTTCAGTTCTAGTTCAGTTCTAGTTCAGTTCTAGTTCAGTTCTAGTTCAGTTCTAGTTCAGTTCTAGTTCAGTTCTAGTTCAGTTTCTAGTTCAGTTCTAGTTCAGTTCTAGTTCAGTTCTAGTTTCAGTTCTAGTTCAGTTCTAGTTCAGTTCTAGTTCAGTTCTAGTTCAGTTCTAGTTCAGTTCTAGTTCAGTTCTAGTTCAGTTCTAGTTCAGTTCTAGTTCAGTTCTAGTTCAGTTCTAGTTCAGTTCTAGTTCAGTTCTAGTCAGTTCTAGTTCAGTTCTAGTTCAGTTCTAGTTCAGTTCTAGTTCAGTTCTAGTTCAGTTCTAGTTCAGTTCTAGTCAGTTCTAGTCAGTTCTAGTTCAGTTCTAGTTCAGTTCTAGTTCAGTTCTAGTTCAGTTCTAGTTCAGTTCTAGTTCAGTTCTAGTTCGGTTCTAGTTCAGTTCTAGTTCAGTTCTAGTTCAGTGCTAGTTGATTACTTGAATATAATGCGTAAAAAACAAATAAAATTATTATATAAAATATTTTTGACAGTGAACACTATTGGAACTAGGAGGCCACTAGCAGGGGATTCAGTCAACAACCAACACAAATCCAAAAAACAAACCATATCAGCTAGTAATAATTTATGATATTTGATAATATTTATTTTGAAATTCATAAAAAAAAACGAGTATTTTGGCATAATTTGCTAATAAACACAACTGTATGATATTAAAGGCTAAATGGTATTAAAAAATCCCTAAAGTTGGCAATATAAACGAAAAT